ACTCTAGAGCAGTGTCTCCCAAAGTGGGGTCCGCGGCCCCCTGGTGGGCCGCGAGGGTACTGCAGGGGGGCCGCGGGAGGTCATAAAAAAAAAAAATAATTATTTAATGTTAAATTTATAATGTTTTGTTTGTAATATTAAAATATTTGTGTTCATTATTTGACTTGAATAATCCACTGTAATCATTTTTGTATTACAATGTTTGTAGCAGAGGCTATTTCCCCAAAATAAAATAACCAGAAGAGCCTATTCTTAATGTTGTCTTCTTGGTTATTATTTTGGGGGGCCACGCAGACCCGTCAGATTTTTAAGGGGGCCTCGGTGTTACTGAGTTTGGGAATGGCTGCTCTAGAGTATTTAAACAAAAGAATACAGTCCTTCCCATATCAGCACACAAAGTTGACAGGCCACAACATATTCCCAGAAAGTTTGCTGCAAAGCACTCCATAGGGGGGCAACGGACATGAAAATTCAACCATTATCCGATTGCTTCCTTTGATGATTGGAAAGTCCCACAACAAGATGCTTATTGGTCAATCCTCATGGATTTAAAGGATATTGTCGAATTGATGTTGTCTCCTAAGTTCACCGAGTAAACTATTCAATATTTACAGTCCAAAATTGAAGATCACAGACAGAGTTTACAGGAAGTTTTTCCGGATTTTAATCTCCGCCCTAAACACCACTTCATAGAGCATTATCCACACCTCATTCGTTGTTATGGTCCTCTTGTCCATGTGTGGACTATGAGGTTTGAAGGTAAACATCAGTTTTTTTTTTAAGAGGGTTGTTCATGACACACAGAACTTCAAAAATGTTTTGAAAACATTAGCGACAAGACATCAACAAATGCTAGCAAACCTCACCAACACACTTCAAGTGTCATATCTGTGCTCGTCTCCACACATCCTTTCAGAATCTGGTCTCGGATATCAGATAGTCATAGTCACTCACAATATTCTGTGGGTCTTGAAAAAACAAAAAAAATCATCAAACTGCTGGCAATATGGGAGTACCTGTTCTGAAATGGGCCGGCAGGCAATGAGTTAATTGAACTAAACCTGAATTATTTTTTTTGTTTCATAAGGAGAGACAAGATGTGAATCTAAGGTGCACCCTTGCTCTTCGAGCCCTGTCCATCTACTTCAAAGAGGATGACTCGGACTTATTCAAAAGTTTTGGGGTGAGTGGCATTTTTTTTTCTTAATATTTGTGTTAATGTTATATATTAACATGATTAAATAAGTACAAAAGGGTATGATATTAACAGCAAGATGAGGAGTCAGACCTTTCGCAATGCCCACTTGCTCTTCAGTTGGCATCCCAATATGTTTTTGGAGGAGGAGCTGTCTCGGTTATTCTCGATTATTCTTGTGATGGCCGAGATTTCAAATATGCTGGAAGCCTTTCTTCTGCTTTTTGGACTGATCTTTGTCTTCAATATGGAGTACCCCAAGAAACTTGTGAACACTTTCTACCTCATCCAAAAAATCCTGGTATGCCTCGATGACAATAGAGTCATGAAACCGTGCCTACGGACCCTTAAAAAGGAGCTGTTCAGAGATGTTTTTCCATTTTAAACACTAATTTGTGTTAGTTATTGTGCAGATATTTTTTATTTTATGTTCTGTCAGTTCTGAAAAGCTAATTCTACTACTCATCTCACAAAGGTTCAATGAAAAAAAGGTTTTTAGACTGGAAAAAGTTGTAAAGTGTTACTGTGGGTTTCATTTGTCTATTTTTTAAATTTCATTTATCTTTAAGAGACACCGCAGATGCCTTAAATCAAAGATGATTGGTCTCTTTGTTTTGTATTGCAAAATTCAATTAATGCTTTGGGGTCATGCACACAAGCATTTCAGGTTACACGTTTGATAAAACAGTAATTGTTGCTCTTTTAAACTTGTTTATTCTCACTAGTCATGGAATCAAGTAGTGGAAAAATGTTTTCTGTCAATGTTTAAATACTTGATGTATTAAAGGGCAATATGTGGGCGACAGTAGCTCACTTGGTGGAGCGTTGGCCTTTGAGCCAGAGGGGTTGTGGGTCCTTAGGCAAGACACTTGACCCCCATTGCCTAGAATGAGTCTGGTGTGTGTGAATGGTTGGTGGTGGTCGGAGGGGCCGATGTCACATACTGGTTGCCTCGCATTTTGTCAGTGTGCACCAGGGCAGCTGTGGCTACAGTAGTAGTTTATCACCACAATGTATGGAGTGAAAGAATAATTACATGTAAAGCGTCTTTGAGTGTCCAAAGAAGCGCTATATATAACCGATGCATTATTATTATTATTACCTACATAATTTATCATTAGCTCTCTATGAAATGGTTGATGTGAGACAAAGCCAACATTAAATCCAGTCTTATCTGTAACCAGAATGTCTAAACGACAAAAAGACAAAAAAAAACCTTGTCTCATTTAATTATGAATTGGAAAACAAAAATAGACAACAGATTTATTTTGTTCTAGATTATAATTTAAATTGGGTTTTGGATTAGATATTAAAGCAGTGTGAATGAAATGAGAGTGTGTCTGTTTGTAGTAGCGTTGGCAGCAGGGGCCCACGCTGGTGTAAACAGTGTGGCATGTCATTTCCAAAGCTGTTTGTTTACGACAGACGCTCTGCTCGGCCCACTCTCCCCCTGTATATGTGCTGTGCAGAGGCTGACTCACAACAAACCAATGCCAAAACAGTAACATCAAAGGGTACAGCCACCTTAAGGCCTTAACCACACTCGAGTCTCCCTGTTTTGTTGTTTTCTTACGCATAAAAAATGTGGGATTACATTGATTGTGCTCATAATGTATGTTAGCAATTTTATTTACAATTACAGTTACAAAAAGTAATAGGGAGAAATTACGAAACACATTTGAAAGCATCCAAAGGTCTGCAGTCTTGAGAGGGTTCTTTGTGGGGCGCACACGAAAAAAACTTATTTTCAAAACTGGTAATCTGATCTGAACAGAAATTAGAAACCTCCAATTACTTTCCCAAAGTACCCAACACATTATTTCATATTTTTCCATTACCCAATACTTTTGAAACAGCAGCAAGTCTTGAGTACCTCTGAAACAGTTGTGGTTTTGTGCTTCACAATCGTTATTTTTCTTGCTTTATTCTAGCTGTAAATTTTGCTGCAGTACAGTGTTCATGGTTTTACAGTGATCCAGACCAGAGCAAAGAGGATGCATGGTCCAAACCTCAGAGATCAAGTGTAAATCCACTGAAGGAAAGCACATTATTTTGAAAAATGCTAATAAAGCATTCAGCATTTCAGTTGAGCCAGAGAAAATGGTCCGAACCAAGAAGACTCTGCATACATCAACCAGAGGATGAAAATCACCAGCGGCTACAGCACCTCTGCTGCTGTGACCTAAAGTGCTGTTTTCCTTTATTACCATTGTTAATAACTTTTAGAATTATGTACTCATTTGTTTTGTTTGAATGGATGTGTTCCTACGGGATCAATACAAAATCTATCTATCTACTTACCTCATCAAATATTGTCCCAATTCAAACTTACTGTAAAGGTCCTATATCACGCTTTTCTTCATGTTTCACACTCAATCCTATGCACATGTGTGATATTAATGTGTATGATACACCACACAACAATCAAAGCTCGTGAGATTAGAGCCATCTCTTGTATAGAGGTGACGTCACCTCGACTCAAACGAGCTGATCCAGAGAAGAGTCTGCTCCTCTGCCTGTGAGCCCGCCTCCCCCCGCTCGCACGGTGACGTAGGATCACGCATCACCTGTACTTAGTAATTTCATACATAAGAATACACTTTTTCCAACAATGACAATCCGTCACATCGAGCCCTATGCCCTCGATGCACAATCAGACCCTAGTTATTTAGTTTACAGAAGTATACAGCGAGTTAGCGTCACTACTTACAGATCGAGGGGGTCCGAGTTACGTCTTTTACCGTGGGAATAACGTGTTTCCAGATCAGCCTTTGAGTAAGTCCAGTTCCATTGTCCCTGTAGTTCTGGAACAGTCTCAGTGAAGTGTCGCAGATGAACCGGTATTATAATAGATCCATGAGATGAGCAGATGAAAAAAGTCGAGCCGCTTTCTTCCTCTTAGGGCCAAATAGTGTGTCACATATTTACACCCATAACACACTTCATTCAAGTTGACGTGATCCTAACACTTTTAGTTGCTGACAAAAGCATAAAAACAGCAGCTCTATGTGGTGTCCGCGAGACCAGACCACAGACGCTGGACTCGGGAGCCGGAGCCTGTGCGCTCTGATTCGCTGATTCGTTTTGATCTGTCAATCACCTCCCGCCGGCTTTTAATTTATTTTTATTTTTATTATTTTTGACAAAAAACAGCATACTAATTGTGTAATGTTTACCCCGTTTTGACAAAAGTATTTAAAAACTATTTTAAATACAAAGCAAACGGGGTCATGCGCGTCATCAGTGTGGTTTTCGTCACTGAAGTGGACCCGAGCGTTTCTGTGCCTCACGCTGGGGAAGGAGACAGATTGCTCTCTTACAAAAGATTGACAGAATCAATGAATAAACTACTGTGGGATTGTGTATGAAGGCCAAATAGCATTGTAATCATGTTTAAAGCAGAGAAAAGTCAAAAACCGTGATATGGGCCCTTTAAATGAGCAGTATGTAATAAAAAAAAATCTGCCCAAAGGTGTAACTGTAACCTCTCCCACTCTCCCTGACAAATCCAGCTGGGACCATAATATCTGAATAAAGAGTTTTGTCAAAAACAAATCAACCAACACCTTTTTCACAAAGATATCCTGGTTTTATTCCTTGTTTTTCATTAATCATTTAAGAATCATAACGAGACCTTTTTAGTTTTGAATCTTGAATCTATTGAGTCCTGAAGTGACATACATTTATAAATGAACATTCTAGATGTAGCTTTATGAAAGGACGATATCTAAAATGCTGAAGTTACTTGCAGATAACTTTTCCCACATCTTCAACAGAGACATCCACACTACACATGGTCCAGTACCTGTCTGCCATGTCTGCACTGGCCTCTGCTCCTCCCTGCTCCTGGGACAATGCTGTGACGTCAGGCATTCCCACGCGCTCCAAGAAGCACAGCTCTGGGTCCGCCCGCATGGCATTGTACCGCTCATAACCTGAAGGACACAACAGGAGAACGCTTAATCTCTCTTCACTGTGCCCATTCAAACATTTAGATAATCACAATTTACAGGGACCTTAAATGCTTGTGCCCACTGCAGGGATATATGGCCATAAATATTACAATAGCAAATGGAAAGACTACTAAAGCTTAATTAATAGTCTTATCTTATCTTATGTAATTTTCCCATTAATGCATGTCAATACTAGTGCTATATTTTATTACATAGTACTTGCATATTTTTGTTGTTTGGAAAAAAAAGTTACCACAGCTTTTATGGTTTTGTTGGTATTAAAGCCTGGTATTTGCAGATGTGATAAGAGGCAAGCGCTGGGTAATATTGATATGGAATCTTCAATGGGCTAATAGAAATGGGAGTACTGTTGCATATAGTTCCAGTCCTTTTCCTAAAATGCTGTCGTTATGAAAAACGTCATAGTAGTAGAAAGGCAGCCCTGACCATGTTTATGGACTCCGATGAGCAGGGACTTATCAGCGTCAACGTCCCACCACGAGGCAGGGATCTCAATGTAGTCAATGTCAGGGAGTGTGACCTCCAGTTTACTGCGACACAAACAATCTCTCTCAGCATTTGTCACAGCCAGACCCACAGACAAACTTTAGCTTTTGCTGCATCTAGAAAATGTGTTGATTTTCACTAGACCAAACCTGGAGATACCCTGTCTCATAGAAGGTAAATTTAAAAAGGACTAGGAACGAGGTCATATAGCTGAATTCAGAGGTTGCCATCGTGATCTGGTTTGCACTCCGTTACCTGGCAGGAACCCCCTCCAGGGCCTGAGTGGCTGCCTCCCCCAGCACCTCCACCTTCAGGTAGTACAACATTCGCACCCGCAACAAAACCCTAGAGAGACAATGTGCATCATTAGAAAAATATAAATACTATTTTATTCACTACATCATGGATATATGTGGTCAATTTGTAGCCACTGACTGTTTATGTAGTTTTCTGGAACTACAAAAAAAATATATATATATTAATTATTTTCCACACAAACTTGAGGATGTGATGAAGGAAATTGACCACTGTACATAATATTTAGATTTTATTTTTCTCAGAATTGACTGATGTGCCTGTAGTATGTTGTTAAAGTAGAACTGACTTGTTGCAGTGCTGTTTGAGGTGTTTCTTGTAGCTCTCATCCTGCAGCACGATCTCAGGGTTACAGTGGACCAGCCAGTCTGCGCTCTGTACCTCTCCGCTCCCCTGGCTCTTCATCTTCTTCCCCTTCCTCCCGCGAGGAACCGGAGCCAACAATCCTGGAACAAAAACATATGACACCTACACTTTCATCCATGGCTGTGGTTTTTCCATCCTGTTGTGGTGTCCTGTTCTTGTTTCACATGTGGTCCCTATTTTAGGCTCACTGCATTTTAACCTGTACATGTTTCCTTTTGTAGGTGTCATCAGGAGACATGGATTCAACTATAGCACTTTTACATATGTATGTACCCTGATAGCACCAGGCCAATGGCACTTGGCCAACACACCTAATCATTGACAACTTATAAAGTGTTGCCACATGCAATATGTTCAGTACATAAATCCTATATATCCTACTTTCACAATTCATAAATGTAAATAAAGAACAAATGCAGTCCCTGTTGCAATCCGGTCATTGATGTTTTGATCCCTGATTTGATTTGACTGTATGAACCCCGTATAAATGCTGTTATTTGTGAGCAGCCTGAACATGTGCTTGTGGTCCCGACCGGAATGGTTGAGCAGTGTGTGGTCTTCTCGTCCATCCTTGGTGGGAGCGATCAGGTCCCAGATGAAGCTCTTGATCTTGTCGTCTCCTTTATAGTGTTTGAGGCAGTAAACCAGCAAAGCCCTGGGACAAAACATTTATTAATGAGTTAGAAGTGAACACTCTACTGTGACTGATTCAGACAACACTGATTTGAAGAAAAAAGAACCATCAGATCACCTAAAATGAAGAAGAGAAGAAACAGATTTTGACCTTTACCTGAAAATCATTATATCCTCCATCTTGCCTCGTTTGAAGAGCATTAGAAAAGCGTGTCCTTTACTTTACTCACCGGCAAATCACCTCCATGTCCCTCTCTGCGAGATGCCATTTGAATCGGCCGTGGTTTAGGATGTCCTTCCATCGACCCCAGCTAAAAAACAGGCACAAAATCAGAAAGGTCACAGCGGGATCCCCTAGTGTAAGGTCTGCCTGAAAGAACCGGAAAGTTTTAAAGCTGGGGTACCTAACAGTAAAACCACAAAATATGTAAGTATGCAATAAAATTAAAACTAGTCCCCTGCTCTTATAACACTACTTTTCACACGCTAACCCATTCAATCAATCAACTTATTTGTAGAGCGCCTTTCCTACACAAGGCAACACAAAGCATAGCCACATCAATCATAGACAGAAAGGTGAAAAAGAGAGGACAATCCTCACTCATCCAATCAACTCTCAGCCAAAAGCATCAAATAGTGACTCACAAGGTTCTTTCTCACAAGTGTGCAAACAATGTATTCAATTTATATAAAGACAGCAGGTTGTGGTCCGATTTATTCAATTTCTCTTCTTTTACAAGATTCTTGCGACAAACTGCAATGTATATGTATAAAATGTACTTTTAGATTTACTTTTAAATACGCTGGAAACTGCAGCAAGTCCTAAATAGCTCTGAAACAGTTGTTTTGTGTTTAACAATTGTTATTTTTACTGCTTTTTTCTACCAAATATGTTACTGCAGTACAGTGTTCATGGTTTTGCACTGGTCCAAACCGGAGCGGAGAGAGTTCAATGTCCAAACCAAACGGATCTGTCACAGCCCTTCCAGCACCTCTGGCCACTTCAGCCCCTCCCTGAGAGGCTGGCCTTCCCTCCCCCTCCCTTTCTGTTGCAGGTTGTGAACAGGTGTGCTGGAGGAACTCCACAGCTGAGTTCACTCTCATCATCAGCAGGAAGGATTCAAAAACCACTGCAGTGAGCTCAGCTGTGCCAGATCGTAGAACTCTGCCAGTCAGTGTCACGTTTCTAGCGTTCTTTTTGATTAGCGAAATATAACATTCAAACCAGGTTTTTTTGACTTATTTTCCAGTTCTCCAGCCACCTGCTTTTCCAGCTCCGTCCTGCCCTGCCCCTGCTCCGTCCTGTCCCGGTTTTGCTCTGCCCTACCCTGGTTTTGCTCCGTCCCGCCCTGGATCTGCTCCGTCCTGCTCTGTCCTGCCCTGTCCTGCCCTGGCTCCGCTCCGCCCTGCACTGGCTCTACCCCATCTAGCTCCAAACCGGCTTCAATAAAATTCCATCTGAACCTCTTCAGAGTCTGCTCCTGGGTTCTTTTGCCTTGATCCGTTACAGGATCAGCCAAAAATCCACTGTAGGAAATAGGAATGCTGACTTTTGGAAAAATGCTAATGACGCATTCAGCATTTTACTTTGGACTAGAGCAGAGAAAATGGTCTGAACCAAGCGGCTTCTCCTCTACTGCTGTGACCTGTCCTGCTCCACCCAGCGGCTATTCCACCTCTGCTGGTGTGACCTGTACTGCTCCACCCAGCGGATGGTCCCCTCTGCTGCTGTAGCCTGTCTTGCGCCACCCAGCGGCTACTCAACCTCTGCTGCTGTGAACTGAAGTGGTGTTTTTATATTTACTATTGTCAGTGATGCGAATAACGGCGTTACTAGTAACGGCATTACTAACGCCGTTACTTTTTTCAGTAACGAGTAATCTAACTAGTTACTTTGACTAACTATAACGCCGTTATCATTTCCGACATCCCGTTACTGCGCGTTACTCAAGACGCACAATGAACTTCTCTTTTTACTTCGTGATGGGACTCTTGCGCATGTTGTCATGAGAGAAGGGAGGATGAGAACACCTCTCAGCAATTATTGGCTGATGTAAAACATATTTCCTTTACAATCTACATGTTTACAGTTGAGAGGATGGCTCATAAATTGTGTTTTTGAAACAAATATTGGTCTTAATCGCGCTCAACCACGGCTTGTATCACCGTGAGGCCAGCCTCAGGAGCGCATGTGAGCGCAGAAGTCGGCTGCATACAATTCCATCGAAAAGCTCCTTTCTCTTCCTGGTTTATCTGCTAAGGGCAGCAACAGGTTTGGCTAACATACATATAACACATTTTAAGATAATTTAAAATGCATTTAGCGTATTTTTTCAATGACTATAGGAATGATAAGAAATAAAGGTGAAGTGTAAGACTGTTGATCTTAGAAATTGGATGCACCCGGCTGCAGCTAGAAAAACAAAGGAGTTTATGGAGGAGACACGCGTTTTGTTTTACTTTTTAAAACTCATTGGACTAATTTCCAAATGGAGGATTACATATCTACGCTCAAACTATTATCTGGACTTAAACACAGAACTGGTCTGAACCGAAGTGGACTGTGCAGATCATTTATAAGGTAAGACCCATAACTCATAGTTTTGCGTTTTGTATGAACAAACAATGTGGGCATGAAACATATTTTGCTGTAGCCAAACAAACTGAATAAGCCGCTCTCTTGGTCCTGTTGATTTATTTGATATATATATGTTCATCTGATTGGGCTGAAGTCAGTGCTCACCGGTGTTTCCACATTCACAGCGGCGGTAGTGCTTACAGCACAGAGAGAGATGAAGAGTGAGGAGGACTCCAGCAGCAAAACAGCCTTTTCTAGATGGAGATATTGGTACTATTTCAAACTCACTGAGGTTAAAGGTAAAAATGTGCACCTCGAGTGCACATTATGTTCCAGAACAAAACGAAAAAGTAACGCAATAGTTACTTTTACTGGTAACTAGTTACTTTTATAGTGGAGTAACTCCGTTAGTAACTCAGTTACTTTTTGGGAGAAGTAACTAGTAACTATAACTAATTACTTTTTCAAAGTAACGTGCCCAACACTGACTATTGTTAGCTTTTTAGAATAATCCATTTATTTGTTTTGTTTGTGTGGAAGAATGTGTTTTACTGCTACTGGACACCTGAATTTCTCCTAGGGGGATCAAAAAAGTATCTAACTAAAAAGAAAAAAAAACTAAATTTGTGAGTAGCAACTACCTAGCATCCAAAAAAAACCCACTCATGCTACTTGCGAGCTGAAGCTGAATTTTGGGGAAAGAAGACTCCTTATTGGTCAGCAGTTAGGACTGAATTTATTTATAAATATTATATCAAAAAATGAACACCCATCCATCCATCCATTTTCTACCCCTTAATCCTTTTCTGGGTTGGGGGGTGGCAATCAGTGATGCCACCCAAGTCGCATAGCACCAGCCCCCTCACTGATCCTCTGCAGGTGGTGAGTCCACAGGAAGATGGCGTGAGCATAGCCTTGATCTTTCAGTGGGGGCGTCAGGCAAAGTGGGGTTAAGTGTCTTGCCCTAGGACACAATGACAGCAGTGGGAGTCAGTGGAGAAGGTCTCATGGTGGGCTTGAACCCACGACCTTCAGACTCAAAGGCCAATGCTCTATCAACTGAGCCACTGTTGCACCCAAAATGAACACCATAATATTTAAACCACCAATTCAACTCAATATTGTGAGTATGGCACAAACTGTTATAACTAAAGGTGTTTCAGCTATAAATCTATGTAAGTAGGTCCTTGTTCTCAAAACAATTTCGTTCTATCACTAGTTTTTACAGGACTCTTTCTGCTGGTGTTTATTTTAAAGTTACTCCACTTTAATAATGGGAGCCATGAGCCAGGAGAAAAACTTAGGTTAGCTTAAATAGTCTACAGCAGGTATCAGAAGTTCAGGGCTGGGAATTGAAAAAAGAGAACTTGAACACAATTTAAAAAAAGACCAAATTAGCAGTTTATTATTCATTTTACTATATTTATTATTTTGCATTCAACAAAATGTTAACTCATAGACTGCCAGACCCATTTCAGATCAGGGAAGTGCATTCTGCCAGTGTTTTCAGGGGATTTTTTCTGTCTCGCTATCATGGATCTATAATAAGAACTGGATAGGGTAATATTAGCTTATACCTGTCCCACCCATGGGTGCAAGGGGCTCATGGGTGGGCCCAAGTGAATTTAGTTTGCAGTTCTAAATTCACTAGAACTGATCTTTACACAAGAAGCCGCTAGCTAAACTCTGTTAGCATCAAAGCCCGCCGGCTACTTCCGCCACTTCCGGTGCGCGCCAGGACTTCTGGTCTGAAGATCCCTGCGTCTGAAAACTTGAGAATGTGCGTTTCAGCGTTGGCGGTCTGAAAGCAGCTTCATGTCCACTTGGGAAAACGTGTTATTGGGTGTAAATATGTGACGAAAGTATTAGGCCCGAAAACGGAGAATGAGGCAACTGGGGCTCGACTTTGTTCACAGGGATCTGCAAGTCTGAAATCCGTGACGAAACTCATTTTCGTCATTTTGCGTTATTTTGCGAGTGGCGGTGACACCACCAAAGACTGTTCCAGAACTGCAGTTACCTTGAAACAGGACCTATTTAAAGGCTGATCTGGAAACCTAGTTTTATTCCCAACATAAAAGACGCTAACAGGGTTCACATGTCACTGTGAACTAAATAATTAGTCTGATTCTCGATCGAGGACATAGGGCTCTATGTGACGGATTACCATTGTTGGAAAAAGTTTATTCTCAGGTCTGAAATTACTTTGAGAGAGCAAAAGCTGTTGCAAAGAAATATGGCACCATTAAATGAAATTAAAGGAGTATTCTAAAAATCCATCCTGAAGCACACTTATTCTCACCCAAATATGAGCAGGTTCTTCTCCACTCTGAAGCACTCAGCTCTCAGGTATCTCCGGCCCCGCTCTCCCATCCTCCTGGTCCTGCATGGCCGGTCTTCGCTGTCACTGTCCAGCTCAGAGAACTCCATCAGCTCGTCGTCCTCGAACGAGTTATAGTGACGCGTCTGCTTCCGAATCCGTGGTGTGTCGATCACCAAAGACTCCTGGACAAAAGGTTTCATACACTCCAATAAATACAGAAACAGTTAGAAGGTCAGACTGGTAACTTTTTTCTCTGGAAAAATAGTTTTGAATTGCTTGAATTGGGTAAAATGTATTTTAATTACACGATTTTGGAGGGTCTTCACACATTGTGTTTGTTTATTTATTTTATTTTATTTGTTTAGTATACATGAACAGTGTCCATTAATGAACATTACAGTAAATGCACCAGAATTAGACAAGGCTATTTTTCATCCGTTGTTCCTGGGCAGATTTTAAAATAATCAGAATTGATAAAACTGATGTGACGTCACAACATTCCAAATTCAACTACAGTTTAAGATTGTAGAGGAGGGCAGTTGCAAAATCTTGTATGAAATATTAGTATCCATACTTGCTCATGTTAGTTCATCCATCCATTTTCTTCCCCTTAATCCGATTCTGGTTCGGGGGGGGGTCCACAGCAGGATAGCTGCTCTGTCTGTGTGAGCAAACTCCCACAGAAAGACTACAACTCCATATTCTGATTGCACAGAGCAACCCTAAGGAATGCACTGTGCAATCAGTGTTGTAAACTGTTACCTTGCACTGTCTGGTTTCATTTGACTTTTAATCAGAATCAGAATCAGAATCAGAATCATTTTTATTGCCAACGTAAGTAACGGGAGGTCACAGACTTGGAAATTGCTTTGGCTCAGTGCAACAGTCAAAAAGAGATAATAAAAATAAGAATAAAAAACACTTCTAAAGAATAAATTTAAATTTAAAATAGAGTTACAGTTACTATTTACAATATACAAGTGCACATGGTGCACACAATGTAAGGTGACAGCAGTACAGTGAAGTAAAGTGACGTATGATGGGCAGTAAAGTGACTTTATAAAGGGCGGGGGACAGGTTAAGAAGTGTTCAAGAGTCCAACAGCAGAGGGGAAGAAACTGTTCTTGTGGCGGGAGGTTCTAGTCTTGATGGACCGCAGCCTCCTGCCTGAGGGGAGTGGTTGGAATAGTCCATGTGCAGGGTGAGAGGGGTCGGCTGTGATACGACCCCTCTCACCCTGCACATGGACTATTCCAACCACTAACTGTAGTTAAATTACTATTGCAGTCCCACTTTTTCCAAGACAGTATCCCAGGTATGTGAGAGTTAAAAAGCCCCCTCATCCTGGTTTATCGAAGGGGCAAATTTCTGGTTAAAAAAATACCACTCTGGTCTTAAAAAATAATTTTGTAGTAAGCTGAAGTGCAGTCCTTCCCACGTCGGCAAAGCACCTACACCGTCTAGTTTTCCCAATCCGTCTCACATCTGACCTAAGCAATTTTACTAGTTGAACAGCTTGCACAAAACAATGATACCCAAACGGCATACAAAATAAATGTCTTTAGAAGGCCGTTCTTGAAAGATACTGGAATGCATGTGAAAAGGGGGCATATAAGGACCAGAATGATCAGGTATTCTGCTCACGACTCGCAAATGACTCAAAACTGCAGCATGTGTAGTTCATTCATTAAGAGCTCCCATCTGTTTGAGCTGGCGGGAGGCTATGTGCCTTTTTGCAACCAAGCAGTACACATTTGTATGCACTTTGCACAGCTCCATGCAACATTTTCACAAAGCCCAGAGAAGATCAACCTGCTTGGGTCCACAACTATTTTGACCGATTAGTTGACTGATTATTATTTTGATTAATCGCTTCAAATTTCAATGTGTGATTTTTTTTCTACATTTGACCAAAACAAAGCTAAAGTGATACTTCTGGAGCACATCTTCATATATAACTTTTTACGCATCAGTTTGATTGATTGAAAATACTTTGTAGACACATGTTTATTTCATTATGCAGTATAGAATGATCACAAACCTCTTTTCAGTATATTTAAGTTTATGTAAGGTTAAAAAAATAAAATAATAATCCGTCAGAAGTACACATGGGGACAGAGCATTTCAAATTTATGCAGCTACAATCTGGTACAGTCTTCCTGAGACGAGCTTCATGTTCAAATCCAGGATAAAAACTGTTTAGCTGTGCATAGAACTAACAGATTGTACAAATAAATCTGGCCTTTTTTGCTGATTGGTTTGTTTAAGATAAGATAAGAATTCCTTTATTCGTCCCACAGTGGGGAAATTTCGATGTTGCAGCGCACGTATAGGACAGTAGTAAGAGCACACAGGGAGCACACACAATATATACAAATAAGTAGTAGCTATGTTTCTTAGCTAACATAACTAGCTGTAGATGCTGAAAATGCTTCAATACCAGTCAAAAGATATATATGTAGTAGTAGTGCAGTTATATACTGTACAGTTAAATAGTGCAGGATAATAAGTAGATAAGTAAAGTGACATGAGGTAAAGTGACATAAGGTAAAGTGACATTGTTCTGTGACATTCTGAAGTTGCAGTATTGCACATTGCACATGATTTAAGAATTTACTTAATTACAGATGAATGAAATTTACAGGCTCAGCAGTTCTTATTATACAGTCTGACAGCAGCAGGAAGGAAAAACCTACGGAACCTCTCCTTCACACAGCGAGGGTGAATTAGTCTGTCACTGAAACTGCTCTCCAGAGCAGAGAGAGTGTCCTGCATGTCATGGTCCAGCATAGATGTTAGTTTGCCAATCTTGCCATCTGTCAATCTTGGCACATTAGGAATTATTCGGCTTGTCAGGCCTATACACAATACACAACAATTGTCTGCAATATTTCTGTTATCATTTGGCTGTTTTCTTCAGAAATGAGTGATCTATTGGTGATAATGGGATATGTAAAACTGAAAATCACCAAATAAAGATGATAGTGATGGTTATTTTTCACATGCCAACTGTTATGTACTGCTTCCTGTACCTTCTCAGACCTAGAGTCGATCTCCACCTCTGCAATCTTGGCCCATTTCTGCCAGAAGTTGGGGTCATCCAGAGAAATGTCCGTCCGGTTTCCAGACGACACAAAACTGGCCTGCAAACCAATAGGAAAGAGATGAATTCTGAGCTTCAAACCCATCCATCCATCCATTTTCTTCCGCTTCATCCGTTGCCGGGTCGCGGGGGCAGCAGTTTAAGCAGAGACGCCCAGACTTCCCTATCCACACACACTTCCTCCAGCTCATCCGGGGGGGGACCCCAAGGCGTTCCCAGGCCAGCTGAGAGACATAGTCCCTCCAGCGAGGTGTCCAGAAGGCATCCGGACAGACAGCAGCGGCTCTACTCCGAGCTCCTCCCATGTGACTGAGCACCTCAACCTATCTCTAAGGGAGCGCCCAGCCACTCTGTGGAGGAAGCTCATTTCGACCACTTGCATTCGCAAACTCGTTCTTTCGGTCGTTACCCAAAGCTCATGACCATAGGTGAAGGAGGGAACGAAGATTGACCGGTAAATCGAGAGCTTTGCATTTCAGCTCAGCCCCCTCTTCACCACAACGGTCCGATACAGCGACCGCATCACTGCGCACGCTGCACCGATCTTCCTGTCAATCTCACGCTCCATCATTCCCTCACTCGTGAACAAGACCTCGAGATACAGTACTTGAACTCCTCCACTTGAGGAAGGACCTCTCCACCCACACCTGGAGAGGACAAGGCACCTTTTCCCGTCAAGCACCATGGCCTCAGATTTAGAGGTGCCGATTCTCATCCCAGCCGTTTCACACCCGGAAGCAAACCGTTCCAGTGCATGTTGCAGGTCTTGGTTTGTTGGAGCCAACAGGACAACATCGTCTGCAAACAGCAGAGATGAAATCCAGAGGTCCCGGAACCGGACCCCTTCCGGCCTCCGGCTGCGCCTTGAAATTCTGTCCATAAAGATAGAGAACAGAACAAAGGGCAGCCTTGGCGGAGGCCAACATGCACCGGGAACAGGTCTGACTTACTGCCGGCGATGCGGACACTGCTCTGGCTCCGGTCATACAGGGACCGGACGCCCCTCAGCAGAGGACCACGGACTCCTGGAGAACTCCCCAAAGGACACCCCGGGGAACACGGTCGAACGCCTTCTCCGAATCCACAAAGCACATGTGGACAGGTTGGGAAAACTCCCATGAACCCTTGAGGAGCCAATGGAGAGTATAGAGCTGGTCCAGTGTTCCGCGACCGGGACGAAAACCACACTGTCTGTTAAATTTCCACTTTGGAACGGCCTGGATGATGCATTGACATGTTAATTTCACACCTGAATGAAAAAAATTGATGTCTTTTGAAAATCCCTTTATTATAAAGTTAATATTAACAATAATAGGACCTGAAATTACGTGTAATCTACATAATAGTGCAAAAAAGTGACAATAGATTATTGTGGATCACTTGATTTCAGTGTATTTATCTAATACGAGTTTTTGGACTGTTTTACTCATGCAGGCAGAAGATACTTAAGACAATATTACTTGTATTACTAATATTACTAATATTTGTTTTCTTGTTTAAAGAAATCTTAACAACCATGATCCGCTGGCAGATCATTTTGCTTCATTAAGTACATTTTCTCTAACAGCTATTTTTTCTTGTTTTTTTTTGGAGCCACTTTTTGCAGTGTGTGTACAAATTAACAAATAAAAAATATAAAATTGGTAAATAAGAATTGCCTACATGTATAGCCTATATATTTTGTACAGTTTAAATAAGTTGTGTATACTTGAGTACATAACCTTTGGTCACTCAAATTGCAAATCTATTTTGTGAAACTATTCTCTTGCTTTTTCTTCTTTTTTTTTTTAACCAAATAATAATAAACTTTTAACATGTATAGTAATTCTTTAAGTGGCTAGGTGGTTCTGTACCAAAGGGGACTGAGCCTACAATTGTAATTTATCCAAAAATCACACAGGTAAAGTTGATTGTGTTGATTGTGAAGTGTTGATTCTTGATTATTTAATTTTTTTTACTTTTGAATTAAATAGTAGATTTTAATTGTATCTAACAAGATGACACAGATAAAAAAAACTGTCGACATAAAAAAAAAAACATTCTTTACAGTGGCAACTGTGTCAATCCTGCTCCTCCTACCTGGCATAAGATCTAAAGATTCCCTGTGTACCTTGGCAAACGTGGAGCCTTTGCCCTCAGACTGGATGGTGATGGTCTGGGTTCTCCTCTGAAGGATTTGGTCGATGTCCTCCTCACAGAACTTGGAGCCTTCGTCCTCCTCGTCCATCAGAGCTCCGTAGGCCCCCTTCTTCAGCAGGTCCTCGACCTCCAACTTGGACAACTGCTGCACCTACACCAGCCAATATCATCACATGACACCACATTCTTTGCTTTAGTCCAGCTTCAACTTGTATAGTGTGTTTAGCTACATCACAAATGTTATCCATCCTTATGCACTCAATGTTCCTTTAGGCCTGAGCGCCACATGCTGGCAAAGGGCCTTTTAGTTTTGTATAGTCCTGCAATGCACGGCCACAACAGTAACCATTTAAATGGAAGCCTAAAGCTGTTTTCAGACCGCCGATGTATAGAAGTGCGTAGATAGAGGCATGGATGCACATTCACAAAATATCAGCTGCACGAGTTTAGTCAATCTGAGGTCCTGCCCTGTGTTGGGGAAAAACACAGCGAGGAAGTTGTGGGCACTTCCATATCAGTGAACAGGTAAGCAGCATTTGTTTACAGTCACAGTATAATGTCATATGTTCACAATAAGAAGAAGATATACTTTCTTACAATGGAGAAATTTGGTTCGATGAATAGTCATATACACATATCACATCAAGCTATGCAGCGTGCTGTTACTTCCGCGCTCCTTATAGGCAAAGTGGGGTAAATATCTTGCCCAAGGACACAACGACAGCAGACAGCAGCGGGAGTCGGTGGAGAACCGGCATATGTCCCCGTGACCACTTTGCTAATGATTGGTGTGTGGAGTGAGGATGTTCATGAGGATGTTCATCTCCTGCTCCGTACGGGAAAAACGTGTGCAGATACATCCATGCAATTTCTCGCATGGACGGACAACACTATTGACTTTGCGCCGCAAGAAAGAAAAATACATTCTAACGTTACTTTTTGTCATTTTTTGCAGTGCAAGCCAAGAATTTACAACAGTCGTTTGAGTGTAGCAGAGCCAGTGGATGACAGCCTGATTGGCCTCTCACCCCATTGAGGCTCCCTTTGCGGTTGATGTCCTGGAGCACAGCCTTGTCCAATCCCAGTTTGAGGCTGGCCTTGTCAAACATCTCTCTCTCGTAGGAATTCCTAGTGATGAGGCGGTACACTTTCACAGCTTTGCTCTGACCGATTCGATGACAGCGTGCCTGGGCCTGAACAAACAACCGAAACATGATCAAATAGAATCATGAAGACAAAGACAAAGAGGACATGTCAATAGACTGACATTATTTCATAAATAGTTGTAGAATCGATCGTGATAATAGATAGAAGTCCTAATAAAAGATGAACACATAACTGTAGAATCTGGTTACATTACATTACACTGTATTATCCAATCATTATAATATTGTGAATCTAAAGAGTCGATTAAACATTGTAAATACCAAAGAACACACAAAATGTGCTCAGCTGAGCAAGAATGTATACATACAAAAGCACAAACATCAATTCTGGGTTTCTGATGGTAAATCAGATTATAATAATCATTGGAAATTTAACCCATTTAGGTAGGGAACGCATTCCCGCATTTCTACCTCTCAAGCTGGACCATAGACATGTGCGTACAGGACCATCCCCACCTTGTTGCATGTGCAGGTTTTGCCCATCTTCCCCATGTCTCCCCGTGTCTCCGTGTCTCCCCGTGTCTCCCTGTGTCTCCTACCAAAGCGCAACCAAAACTCACTGAATTAAAGGTGAGCTACCTAAATTTTTCCAGGGACCGGCTAAAAACTGGACTACCTCACTTTAATTTTGTATTCATTAGGGAAATTGAATCCATATCCATGCTGTGCATTGGGATATACACTACTGTTCAAAAGTTTGGGGTCACCCAAGTGTTTTCCATGAAAAATCACACTTATTCACCACCATACGTTGTGAAATGAATAGAAAATAGAGTCAAGACATTGACAAGGTTAGAAATAATGATTTGTATTTGAAATAAGATTTGTTTTACATCCAACTTTGCTTTTGTCAAAGAATCCTCCATTTGCAGCAGTTACAACATTGCACCAAAAACCAGACATTTGCAGCTAGAATAGTCATTTACCACATAAGCAATGTATAGAGTGTATTTCTTTACAGTTAAGACTAGTTTAAAGTTATCTACAGTGCTTTTCCTTCAAAAATAAGGAAATTTCAATGTGAGCCCCAAACTTTTGAACGGTAGTGTACGTCCTTTTGAAGAATAAGTAGCGCTGATTTGTACTGGACCACTGGCCCCAACTTTCTTGAGAAAAGCTACAGATCTCTCGTTAGCGCACACAGACTGCTGAGGTAAACTAGCATCATGGTGGAAGTGAACCTAAAACTTCCCGTGTCTTCGTTACCGGTTACTGCTTACACAGCAAAACACCCATCCATCCATCCATTTTCTTCCCCATAATCCTTAGTCCATTTCTGAGTCGGGGGGTGGCAAAAAGCGAAAGGGAGCTACCTACAGCAAAACAGCCAAAAGAAAGTCTCGTCCTTCATGCTTCCTGGTTCTATCATTCTATGGTCACGCCATCCACGTTCAAATGGGCGATCCATATTGTAAAGACGCAAGCTCCGTAAACAGCAGCACGAATGAGTGGGAGGGGGGTAGTCGGAGGTAGTGGGGGTAGGAAGAACCTATCCAGATAAAATAATACACCCATGGTTATACCACATTGTAAAGCTCTGTAGCATTACAATTACACACCTTTTTTATTGACAAATTGAGATAACACTAGACCAGGGATCACCCATCTGTAGCTCGGGAGCTACCGGTAGCTTGCCAGCCCCTTTTAGGTAGCTCCCCAAAGGATTTAGAACAGTGCACAAGATCTGTCTATTTAAATGTGCAATAATATTAAAACTGTTTAATGGCAGACTACGAAAAAAAGAGAAAGATATTTAATCAAATAGAGCCACATGCAGCTTGTGAGCCTAAGGTTTGGCACCCCTTTGAATGGGTATGAACTTTTTAAAAGAACAAATCAGCCGTTCCCTACTAATAACTGTACAACTTGTGAGTCGTTGGATCTATCATCTTGTTGCGGAGGGTTGTACCTGCAGGTCGTTTTGTGGGTTCCAGTCGGAGTCAAAAATGATGCATGTATCGGCCGCTGTCAGGTTGATGCCCAGCCCCCCAGCCCTGGTGCAGAGCAGGAAGACAAAGCGATCTGAGTCGGGTTTACAGAAGCGATCGATGGCCGCCTGCCGCATGTTCCCTCGCACACGGCCGTCAATGCGTTCGTACGTGTAACTGTGGTGGAGAGGTGGAAGGGCACAATTATAAAGATTATTCTCAGTCTCCTGTCTATTTCAATTGTGAAACTTATTTTAGACAAAGGCTTGAAATATGTCACTCCACAGGTGAAACTCAGAAACTTATGATGTGAAACTAATATACGAATCCGAATCTGAATCATTTTATTGCCATGTGACTTTTAATGTTGTTTTATGTCTGTACTTCTGCACACTGGGGACTTTTGCTAATGAATTCCAATGTGGTTTTACTGCAAATGGCAAATAAATAAATACAATGAATCTGAATCTGATCTGAATGAAGCTAAATCTGATGTGAATAACAAGAAGTCGGAAACTAGGAAATTGCTTTAAAAAAGTTTAAGCAGAGAATAGAATAAGACATGCATAAATAAAGATCTACATACATTTTTAAAAATGACTACTATATATAAAGTGCACTAGGCGCACACTATAGACCTGGGGTCAGGAACCTATGGCTCGGGAGCCGTATGTAGCTCTTTTAATGATTATGTCTGGCTCTCAGACAAATCTTAGGCGACATTCTTAGTCATTATGATTTATGTGTTGGATTTCTTTAACTTAAACATTTATTAAACAAAATATGACATTCTAATACAAGTGTTAAACAATAAATGTGTTGATCTTGTTTAAAAAATAAATGAAAAATCACACATATTCACACTAATAAAAATGTGTATTCGACTCTCAGCTAAAATAGGATATATGACATTCTGAAATGTTTTTTCAAAAAAAAAAAAAAATCTGTATTTTATAGTTGAGCTACATAACCTTTTTTCCAACTGATAGTCAGCCTGGTAATCCACATGTTTCTGTGTACACTCGAATAACTGCAAAACACCTTGGAAACTCAAACGTTCGCATGGATTTGGGATCACTCAAAGAACAACTTAGGATGGCGAGAATTTACTATTGTAAAGACTGAAACTTGTAGTTTGAGTTTGTTGAAGCAAATGGAAAACTATTTTCCCTGATGTTTAACTTGCACAAACCGCATTAATCGTTTGGTGCACACCTACAGACGTATGATAGACAGTCGTAGCACAAATAAACAGCTATGGACGATGGTAAACCACACTCTGCGGAGAAAAATTGGTTCCCACACTAAATATTCTCTCTAAATGTACTTTTCAGTCTGAAAAGCTGATCTAAAGATGTGAAAGAGAACAAAATACATAAAACTAGAACTGCTTAGAGAGGGAGTAAGATGAATTGTATTAAAATTAAATTTGTTTTAGTTGTTTGCTATTGGAAAATTAATTAACACAATGAAAGCTCTTGCACCACAATTTGAGAAACACAACTACCGTGACGTACCGTCTCTGTATGAGGTAGTCCTCCAGGATGTCCAGGCAGCGCACCATCTGACTGAAGACCAGGACCTTGTGCCCCCCCGACAGCAGCTTGGGCAGCAGTTTGTCGATGAGCACCAGTTTGCCAGCCGCCTGGATCATCGCCTGGAGCTGGAAGTCCGGGGCGTCGGGGCTGTGGTACTTACGGAAACTCTCCAAAATCTTCTCCTCAGCTCCTATGTGAAGAGAGATCAAATAAACATATGTATTTAGAGGTGTTTCTTCGACAAAGGCTTTAGGCGAATTACCATCATGATTGACAGGGGTTTCGACAAAAGTCACAATTGCATCACACATTTCTAGACGATTTAAAATGACGGCATTTTAAAATGAATTAAAATGGCACACACACGCACATACTTACCCTATCCTAACTTTCCCAGCTGTACCTTTATTGTTTATTGTATTCAACACTGTATTTTCAGTGTTATCTGTATTCTGTGTTTTTTCCTGTATGCTTGTCACTTTATGATTGCGAATAATACATTTAAAAAAATACTTGAATTAAGCATTGTGTTGCTGGAGTACCTAACTTTGTTTGAATAATTAATACATCTATACAACAGAACAAGTAAAGTAAATAATATTTTGTCAACAAATCATAACGCCAAATGCTGTATTTAGTTTATTACAACGCTTGGATACTAAGAAAGGGGGGCTCTTTTTCGATACATAAAGGTCTGGGATCTTGAAAGTAATAAATTACTTTTATTGGATTCTATCAAAAGGAATAGAAGTTTTGCACCACCACATGACCTTCATAGCAACCATTACTACACAGCCATATTCGATGGCCGTAGATGGAACACTGCCATCACACTCAACGAGAGCACTAATTACTTAGATCTGACTAGAGTGATGGGAAAGTTTTGTATTTGAATTGTGGAAATTATCCACTCAGCAGCCCAAGAAGCTAGGTAGATGAGGTAGGTGAGGTGAGATCTTGCTAGAACTGTGTATTACGGCTGGTATTTTGAAAAATTACACGTAAACTTGGATTATTCTTGTCTCGCTCTGAGCGTTTTCTACAATAAAAAACGCAGCAAAACATTCTAATCACTCTAAGTCAGGTCTAAGAAAAGGGTGCTCTCGTATTGTGTGATGGCAGTGTTTCATATATTGCCCTCTAACATGGCGGCATGGTAACGGTTGCTATGTAGGTCACTTGGTGGTGCATAACCTCTATTGTCCAGTGATTTTGCTTCTTTTTGCTTCTCCATACTCCCTTTTGAACATGTGAACGGAATAGAAATGTTGGTTTTCTTTTTATGATTATATATAAAGTATGCACACATGTTTCAGAATAAACCGAAATGAATGAATGAATTATGTACTTTTATTTGGCCTGAAAAAATAAACTAAACAATATCTGCACTAGAGCTGAAACGATTCCTCAAGTTACTAGAGTAATTTGAGTACAACAAATATTCAAGGAATATCCGCTGCCTCTAGACTTTGTATTGTTTGTTGTGTTGTTCAATAAATCGTAATCAAAGATTAATTTTTGAACATAGCTCCATAGATTGTACATAGAATGCACAGTTCCATAGACCAGTGTTTTTCATCCACTGTACCGCAGCACACTGGTATGATATTTTCTGGTGTACCGTGAGAAATTCACCTACTTATAAACCTAAAAATGAATAAATCCACCGTTGGCGAGTGCTGACTTGTTTTGAACTGTGGAGTAACCACGTGATACTTTTTCATATCAGTAGGTGGCAGCAGATAGCTTTGAAACGTAAGAAATGGATGGACCACTGGATGTGGCAGTTAGCGGGGAGCATTGTGGCTTGTGAGAAGTGAAAGTGATTGAGACGTTTTTGAAAAGGAATAATGCCGTTTCTGAACAGGCTTCACATCCTCCGCTCTGAACCTGGGGAAGCTGTGGCCGCATTGTACTGACAGCCGCTTTGACAACAGCTCAGCAAACGCAAATCCGTGGTACCGAGCGCCGACCATAGACGCGCGAACAGAACCATGGACTTGTGGACACAACCATGGACACACAGACTCGTTTTCGTGGACAGAACCATGCTCAGGACCATCTCCCGTGTCTCCTCCCCAAGCGCAACCAAAACTCCCGAATTTAAAGCTCGGATACCGAAAATTTCCCCATGCATGAACAATGAATGTTATTTGTGAAGAAAAGTAAAATGTTGTGAACAAATCAGAGCATTTGACCATTTTTTTTAATTATTATAAAAAAAATGGTCAGACCATTTTTTAAATTATTATTATAATTGTGCATACTTAAGAGCCCTGTGAGTCATTATTTTACCTTTCGGGCTGAGAGTTGATTTTTTAAATGTTTTTTATACACAGTTAGTGCCATTTTTTTCTCAATCTCTTTTTAACTCATTGTATTGATAAATATTAAACAAAGCTATTGTCAAGGCCTAGATTTAAGCACTTTGATGAGAATTACGTTATATTGTTAATATACTGTAGGCTACAAAGTATAAATGTTTACATTTTCTCCGGGTGGTGTGCCGTGAGATTTTTCCAATGAAAAAAGGGTGTGCCTTGGCTCAAAAAGGTTGAAAAACACTGCCATAGACTGCACACAGCTCCATAAACTGTACATAGCTCCATAGACTGCACACAGCTCCATAAGCTGTACATAGCTCCATAGACCAGTGTTTTTCAACCTTTTTTGAGCACAAGCGTCACGCGGCGTACTCGCCGACGAATTGGTAGCCCAATCGGCCCAGGATTAAGTACAAAAAACTCAGAAACTATCCATAGGTGGCGCTATAGAGTCATATAAGGTGTGTATTTACAAATCATTACGCTCAGGCCATTACCAACTGTTAGTGATGCGAGTTTCAGCTCTGTAGGTCTGAGATTGTGGTCAGGAGAGCATGGAGAAATTCCCCACCACTACTAACACCCACCCTTGCAATTGTTTCCTTTATTGCATCACGCCATTGCACTCATTTATTCTGTGTGTCGCATGTTCCTTTTGTTGCTAGTTTAGAGAGAAATTGTCTGTGTTAACACGTGATCCTCTCACCCTAGGAGCGTATGGGTCCGACAAAAGAGTGGTGCGTGGTGGAGACAAGGGGTCAGCGAATGGACGGACAGTGAATGGCGAGCGAATTTCAGGATGCTGAAGAACAAGTTTAACATCCTGTGCGATCTCCTTAGGCCACAACGCCAACGGGAGACCATGGTTAGGAGGCCTTTGTCTGTGGAACAACGTGTGGCAATATGTCTGGAGGTTGGCAACTGGTGATTGTTTCCGGACAATCTCGAATTTGTTTGGCATAGGGAAATCAACTGCTGTCACTGAGGTTTGCTCTGCCATTGCAAGCACCCTGTCCATTAAAACCCGATCTCTGAGTGAATTCAGGGCCATCGCTCAAGGACTCAGAGACCGCTGGGGTTTCCTTCAATGTGCAGGAGAAAATGATTGGACACACATTCCCATTAATGCCCCACAACATGCTCCTTCTGAATACTACAACAGGAAAGGATTCTACTCCATCATTCTACAAGGTGTGGTAGACTACAGACTTAGGTTCTGGGACATTAATATCGGCTGGCCGGGGATGGTGCACGATGCCAGAGTAATCAGTGAGTCCTCCATATTTATAGAAGGTCTGAGTGGCACCTTGTTGCCCAACATTAAAGAGACCTTTGCTGGTACGGAGGTGCCTTTGGTTATCCTTGGTGATTCGGCATACCCACTCCACTCATGGGTAATGAAGCCGTATCCTGACCATGCACACACTATTCCTGCCCAGCTGAATTTCAACTACAGGTTAAGCAGAGTTCAGATGACTGTGGAGAGAGCCTTTGGTCGTCTGAAAGGCAGATGGAGACGTCTTATGACTAGGAATGATGGACAGCTGGAGAATATGAATGATGTTGTCGCAGCCTGTTGTGTGCTGCACAACTTTTGTGAGGACAACGGTGAGTGGCAAGGCAAGGCAAGTTTATTTGTATAGCACAATTCATACACAAGGCAATTGGGGTTGGAATGGTTTTGGGGCTAGGGGAGGGACGGGTGCATGGATTTTGTGGGAGAATTTGAGTTGGACGCCCTAGGTGGCTTTGGAGGTACGTATGGGGAGTAGTTATGAATGTTAGATAGGACTCTTGATCTGGCTACAGTGGGTGTGAGAGGAATAGTGTTGTGAGGACCTTGGATTCGAGGATAATGACAGATCATCGAATCCACAACCACATGTTGATGTTGCCATTCCACAACTGCAACGGCAAACACTGTACGAGACGCTCTGTGTTCATACCTGTTTGGACTGTAAATGTCAGTTTGGACTGTAAATGTATCTATTTGGACTGCAATGTCTGTGTACCTTTTTTTTCAAAACCATCAAAGCATCATTGCTTGGAGTTATTTGATTTGTGTGCTGCATGTACGTCATTTTTTTTGGTTTTTTGTATTTGTGCTTTTTTATATTTACTTAATTTTTGCTAAAGCTAGTTTTGAGACACAGCATTTTTAGTTGTTTGCCTGCAAACATGTGTTTTTTTTTGGAATGGACATTTGTTTTTTTTTACTGTGTAAACCACATACCCATGGTGCATTTTTGTTTCAAAACAAAGACAAGGAAGCGGCAATTGCACCTATACCATGTTATTTCTAGGGAATCCTTACTGAAGAAAAGGAGACAATGTCTATGATATGGTTTGTGTCAGTGAGGTCAGAACAGAGGATAGACAGTCCCAACAGGTAGATATCAAAGTCATCGTTGCACACAAACAATCTGTTAAGATAATTTGACAATACAATTCTGGAGCTATGCTTGCTCTTGGTTTAAGGACATTACTTGGGTGGAATCTACACTAGTCAGCATCATGCAATACTTATGTTGTACTTTAGCAGCTGATAATATGGAGAATAAAGAATAGTAATAGCGGGCAAAGTAGTGAATTATCAGATGAATGAGTAGGTAATAATGGTGTTATACAGCTGCAAGTGACTAGAGGCCATCTACATCTCAAGACAGAAATGTTAAAGGCTTAAATCGTTACACATTAAAAGTGTGCTTCATGGTGCAGTGTGTGGTCAAGCATAATGGTAAACTAGCATGTAGAATCATACAGATTAGACAGACTAGGATAAGCCATCATAAAACTTTTATTCTGACAGCAATATATTTAAATTCACACAGCACACTTTTGCTTGCCAGCAAACATTTTTTTCAAA